TGGGTCTCGACGCAAGACGGGGTGACATCCTGGACATTGGGAGGGTGGACAAGTGCTGCACACTGAGGAGAAACATCGCTCACAGAGCTCAGGTGTCGGCAGTCCACAAGCCTTGCAAGGTGGCAAGGGTTCCTCCCCAGCCTCCATGGCGCCGAGCCAACCCCATAACGACCGAACTGCTCTGGCCCGTGGTGCTCTCCACGCAACCAGGTCAGCCGGGATGGGCACCATGGATGGGTCCCTCCATCCTCGACGTGGGGACTGCCAGGTCCTCCAAACGTCCCAAAGTTCGGTGAGGTCAACCATACTCTCGGCATTGTGCTCGATGAAGGCGACCAAGCCAAAGATGTTGTCTGGCGCAAAATCCCGTGCTGTCCAATGAGTCCGCAGCGGTTCGATGAGCAGCAAATCCAGCTTCGCCTCGCCCAGGCGATCATAGTAGGATTGCCACGCAAGCCGCGGGTCACTCCCGGGCAGAGCCAAGACAGCTGAGCTGTTCCATGTGCCAATCCAAGGGAACTTGAATCCTCCCTGATACTCAGTACACCTCCTACAGTTCTCTTCCATGCAAGGTGACCGTCTGAAAGGGGGGAGTCCCTGCACCCCCAACCCAATTGGATGTGGGGGGAAATGATCAATTTGGCACACAGAAGCCCATAAGCGGGTGGCCTCGGCCACCAAGCCCCGCTGGAGCAGGCCCTCCACGTGCGTCTTGAACTCGTAGTAGGCGGCTGCATGAAGTAGCTCCGCATCCGTGTGGGCAGCCTCATTCCAACCGGGCCGGACGACGACGGAGGCCCTTGGCATCGAGGGGGTGACCTCCCACCTTCGTAACCTCCGTACTCTAGGGTAACGCCCTAGTAGAGGAACGAGAACCACTTAACCTAGGGTAACTCCCTAGAAGTGGCGTGGGTACCCCAGCAAAAGAAAGAACGATGAAGCCAGTTTGGCTCAGACTTGAGCCAAAATGGATTCATCAGCTTACATACTCACCCTAATGATAATGCACACCCAGTGCCTGCCAAACACGATGCATACATATATACATACATACATCCATACATCCATACATCCATACATCCATACATCCATACATCCATCCATCCATCCATCCATCCATCCATACATACATACATATATGTATACATATATATATATAACCACACCCCCACCACACCACAGGGGGCGAGGGGGACAGTACCACACCCCCATCACACCACTGGGGGAGGGGGACAGTACTATGGCTGACCCATGACCATGGCGGGGGGGAGGGGGGTTGGAACGCTGGACGCTGGACCATATATATATATACATAGATGCCGCTCATATTTTGAAAGGGCGTGCAAGATCGCCCTGAGAAAAATACTGCTACGGCAAATCAAATTACGATTCTGAACATCACACTAAGTGTGCAGTTCAACATGCTAAAGTAGAAGTAGAACAGAACCTGCGAAAACCAATGGAGTGTTGGTTCCAGACATTTGAGTTCCTATCAAATAAGCTCCAACAAACTGCAACATCTGCAACTGGGACAAACGCATTGGGGAAAAAAGTGAAAAACCAGGAAACGTTCATCACATTTCATCACCGAGGCCGTTGCCCATTTGCAAAGTCACGCTCAAATTCTGTCACCTGACGTCACATGGAGACAACCCAGCGAGCCAAGACCATTGACACCTGGGGGTTGCTAGGCTTGGGGGTCACCACTTGGACATCTTTGTCAAGCTCATCGAGCCACTCATGGCAGCTCCCTTATGCTCGATTGCAGCAACAGACCTTCCCCCTACGCCACCTTTCGGGACAGTCGAACGTCATCGTTCAGCCTTGGGGATTTGTTTTTTCATCGCAACTCTCTCCATATCAAGAGGTTTAGATTCGTACGTTACATTGGTGAGTCTCCGATCAGAATTGGTCATCCTTCGTCTATTCTTCCAAGAATCCGCCGCTGTACTAGTTTGTCGCAACCAACTCATCCGACCAGCTAAGCCCTTGGCCAGGTCAGAATTAGTTGCGACATCTTTGGATCAAAGAAGAATGAACTTGCCCTGCCTGTTGCAACTTTGGTCGCGTATGTTAGTTCAACATGCTTTGCTGCAAGCAATATATTTTCAAGATGTTCATGAATCACTGTGGCACAACATGCAGCAAAATCTCCAAGATAGACTTTGGAGAACCTTTGGGATCAGCATCATAAAACCATATTCTATTCCAATCCACATATCAACTTGAGCCGCACGTAGAACATTCAGTAGTTGCCTGGCACCTTCACGCATCTGTATATATGATATATGCAAATAGATGTGGGCACACTATGAGAACTGCTCGTGAAGTTGAGAAACATGTTTCTCTTCTGCCTTCTTTGACTCTTGAATCAAAAGTGCCTTCCTGACTTCACTTAGTCAGGAAACCAACCCATCAGGGGCTCGTGTTTTTCTCCACAGCGCTGTCGCTCAGCGAAACGGAGAGCGATCTATGGCATCCACCCGGGGGGCTAATTCGCTCACGAGTCCCAAGTCATCTCAGAATGAAACCTCCTGCAATTGCCACTTGCACATCCACTTGCAGCACTTGGAGCACTTGACAAACCAGGGCACCCTGCTACGCTAAAACATCTCTTCAATCTCTGACTTGGAATTGGCACAACAAAATCAACTATAGTTGGCTTGAACAAAAACTACCTATAAGATCTATAATCTATAAGCCTACAAAGCGAAGGAAAAGGACTTCTGCCAAGGTGCAAAACCCCGGCCTCTTCACTTTGAGCGCTGACGCATCTTGCGGCGTTTCTTTTGCAAACGGCGAGTGCGCTTCTTCTTCCACTTCCATCGAAACTTGGACCGCGCCTGGCAGAAATCATCATAAATCGATGAAGGTTAGGGTAAATGGAAGTCACGTCAAGTCACCTACCTTAGACGAGATCCCACGAGCACCGGATCTTTCTTCGTCTTTCTCCATCTTTCTCCCATCACCCTGACCTTCTTGTACGGGTTGGATTTGTGCGCCATGGTGGCCGAAGCCCCAAGACGGCTCTAGCCAAAGGCTGCAGGCGTCAATCACAAAGACAAGAGCCACCTTCTGTGCCTAGCAAGCCCAAGCCATCACAAGGAGCATCTTCAAGAGTTGTGCAACAGGCTTTCTAAGGCGAACCAAGAGTGTGTATCCTCAAAATATATAGGAAGTGTACGGAACTGTTGCTATTTTCAGACCGGAAACCATTGGGCTCCGAGAGCCTCTCAAGGTTTCTCTCATGACCAAGTATAGATTGAAAATTTGACAAAAAGCCAAAACTTCAAGATAGACTTTGGAGAACCTTTGGGATCAGCATCATAAAACCATATTCTATTCCAATCCACATATCAACTTGAGCCGCACGTAGAACATTCAGTAGTTGCCTGGCACCTTCACGCATCTGTATATATGATATATGCAAATAGATGTGGGCACACTATGAGAACTGCTCGTGAAGTTGAGAAACATGTTTCTCTTCTGCCTTCTTTGACTCTTGAATCAAAAGTGCCTTCCTGACTTCACTTAGTCAGGAAACCAACCCATCAGGGGCTCGTGTTTTTCTCCACAGCGCTGTCGCTCAGCGAAACGGAGAGCGATCTATGGCATCCACCCGGGGGGCTAATTCGCTCACGAGTCCCAAGTCATCTCAGAATGAAACCTCCTGCAATTGCCACTTGCACATCCACTTGCAGCACTTGGAGCACTTGACAAACCAGGGCACCCTGCTACGCTAAAACATCTCTTCAATCTCTGACTTGGAATTGGCACAACAAAATCAACTATAGTTGGCTTGAACAAAAACTACCTATAAGATCTATAATCTATAAGCCTACAAAGCGAAGGAAAAGGACTTCTGCCAAGGTGCAAAACCCCGGCCTCTTCACTTTGAGCGCTGACGCATCTTGCGGCGTTTCTTTTGCAAACGGCGAGTGCGCTTCTTCTTCCACTTCCATCGAAACTTGGACCGCGCCTGGCAGAAATCATCATAAATCGATGAAGGTTAGGGTAAATGGAAGTCACGTCAAGTCACCTACCTTAGACCAGATTCCACGAGCACCGGATCTTTCTTCGTCTTTCTCCATCTTTCTCCCATCACCCTGACCTTCTTGTACGGGTTGGATTTGTGCGCCATGGTGGCCGAAGCCCCAAGACGGCTCTAGCCAAAGGCTGCAGGCGTCAATCACAAAGACAAGAGCCACCTTCTGTGCCTAGCAAGCCCAAGCCATCACAAGGAGCATCTTCAAGAGTTGTGCAACAGGCTTTCTAAGGCGAACCAAGAGTGTGTATCCTCAAAATATATAGGAAGTGTACGGAACTGTTGCTATTTTCAGACCGGAAACCATTGGGCTCCGAGAGCCTCTCAAGGTTTCTCTGAGAATTGCATCCACAGCTGTCACAACCAACATGCAAAGTGTGTGAAAAGAAAGTTCTCCAATTCGGACTGGTGACTGTAATTTCAACTGTCGCATGTTTCAATGTGTCTGGCCCTCGCCATCCGACCCAAGAGTCGACCCATCAATCTGGCCCTGAGAGGTAGAAATTCTTCGAAGACGACCACAACCGCAGCGCCCAAAATGTGGAAAGCCAGACCGCTGAAAGCTCGGACAACTGAACAGAATTTCAGACAGACAAACCTACTGAGAACCCTGCAGATCCGACTGTCCGCTACCATCTTGTCAAACTGTCAAACTATTTTAGTTTTACACGATACCAAAACTTTGCTTCGCCATGTTTAGAAAAAATGATCCGCAGGTGAGAAATGGATAAGGCAGAGTTTAAAACAAACAATGGTTGCTGCAGCAAAAATGTCTGAACCATGAAGATGCACAGCACAGCATATCCTACCATGCCTACAATGTCCTGCAAGCGACCTTCGTAATCCACAGAACCTGGAAAATTCTCACAGAGTTGATTCCATAGGAAGAAACCCACATCCCGGCACATGCAAAGTGCACAAAGGAAGTCTACATAGCTGACATAGCTCCCATTTTGCAGAGTCTGAAGCACACAGACCAGGAGCTTTGCCTGGCATGCTGCAGATTGCAGAAACTTTCAGGTTCAACAGAACCTCACACTCTCTGACTTCCACCATCCAGCAATATCAGCAATAGCTCCAGGGAGTGCTCACACGGCTCACACAGAAAAATGATTGCGAAGATTCGCATCCCAGGTTGCCATGTCAGCTGGTCCGGGATCCCACAGCTCGAGACTCATCATCTGTTCGAATCTGTTCATCATGGTCTTTTGAGTCTTCTGTCTTCATCGCCAGGGGTCTTGGTGACCGTCTAGGAAATACTCGAGCGCTGAAAGTGGTACCTACGCCACTGGATCGCCTTATGCTTCCCCTTATTACTCCTTATTCTTCCCTCGGAGAGCTCGTGTGATTTATGTTGGCATGGAAGCATGATGGCTTCTGTTTCTGACAGTCAAACGTCTAGCAGCGTCCGCAACCAAGGTGGTCACAGTATCAATATCTACATCGATAAAAGGAGTGTCCCAAATCGTTGGACTGAATGATCTCTTGCAATGTGCGTAAGTGGGCCTATTGCTAACACAAGCAAAGTTGATTTTGTTCATAAAGGCCCAAGCTCCCCACTCACTGTGGGCGTTGGTGGCTGGCTCCCACGGACTGTCGTATCCACTGAGGCCTTCCTGTACGGCTGGGATAATGTTTGGCCGGAAACAGCTTACAAAGTGCGCAGTGTCGATGGAATCCTGCTGCAGCTCCACGACATAACTCCCTGCTGGCAAAAACAACGACCAACTCATCCCAGCTCCGAAGGGCTGCACCAGAATGTCCACGAAGTCCAAAGCCAGCCGCACCTGCACCGGATGGTAATCTTATCCAAACAGAAAAGACGTCAAATAGGCTCCAAGTTTAGCTCCAAACTGAAACCCCAACAGTCATAGTACCAAAGTTGTTTCCTTTGCGAGTGAAAATGTTGCACTATCTAGCGGGAACATGTGCTCAGAACACACGAGCACATGCTGGACTCTTCTCTGGACCCCTTAAAACCTTTCAGAATGCTGTGCTGGCCACAATTTGTTGGATCGACAATACTAAACCATATAGTTTCGAGGGTACCCAATTGAGACGAAATTGACCACCGACCTGATCTACGATGGACAGCTTCTCCCAGGATAAGTACATCAAATGCAACGGTGGGGTACGTCTCACCAACTCGGCTAGGGCGTCAAAAACTGCCTTCTGGTTTGAAATTCTTCGCTGCAAACCTTCCGGATCATAAACTTTAGCCGTTCTGTAGGCGAAGAGCAAACCGAGGCTGTTAGGATGGAAATGCCCCAGGTGCTCTGCCAAGTTTTCTGCAAATCTTTTGTCATTGTCAACTCCAGGTGTCAGGTGGTATCGGAAAGTTCGCCTGAAATGCTCTGCATCCCTCCAATCCAAATCCCCGTGGAGTCGCAACGAAGGATCTGGAAAACCCCAAAGGGCAACTTTGTAGCAATGACACTCGTCGTCCTGAAGCTCTTGAATGCTTCTCACTCGAGGCGAAAGCATTTGCAAGAAAAATTGAAAGCGATTGTTTTTTAAGCCCACTGTTTCTGGCGAATCTCCATATGGCACCAGAAAGACATCAGTCTTATCAGGTTCCAACTTTTCTGGACCTCGAATCCCATCTCGGAGCCACAAGGCCAACAACAGTTTCCGAGTCTTCTCGCCTCCGAACAATGCTAATGCTGGAAGAAACCAAGTAAAAAAACCTGTAGGATGGGTCAAGGACCGATGTGGAACCACGCTGAGTGGCAAGAGCAAGGCAATACGCGAGGACCAATTACAGCTTTTTGTAGAATTGAAGGAGAACGCCTTCAGCGGCGTAAAGTCCAACATCCCAAAGTCTAAGTGGCAAGAGCCCAAGGCAGCTGGAGTTTGCAAGTTTTGTGTTCGCAAAATCAATTGATTACTGTGCACGCAAAGATCTGTCAATGCCATGGGGCAGTGCTGCGCTCTTCCATAAACAGCGGACAACCCCTGCTGTCGATGCCACCAGCGTCCCGGATGCCCTTGAAACTGCATCAGAGCTGCCCTGTATCGCTGCCCCACAAACTCCGTGACCAGAGTTTCTTCATTTCTCAAAAAACCCAATATCCACAGTGCTTGGTCCAACTGCACGACTGACAGCCCGCGGCCATCCCAGCGGCAGCCATCACACAGCAACATCCTCAGAGCAGCGCCTTCAACGAAATTCGCCGCGGCCTCGAGAAGCCGTAGCACTTGGGTCGTGTTGGACTCGGCCATTGCCCGGCTGAGACGGCTGAGGCCACAAGCAAAGTAGAGTGCAATCTGCTCGGCCAAGCAGTCCGCGTCCCGCAGGTTCAGCAGCACCAGTTCCAGATCTCCGGCAAAGCGCGGTCGCCAAGACACATCCGAGACCTGGAAACCGCCAATGATTGGTATGTGGTCGTTGTGGCAAAAGGCTTCGTGCATAGTATCTTGAATTTTTTTGTCTTTCACTTGTTGATGATTTGCAAGGGCATCCACCACCTTGTTAAGATGCGATGCACAATCTGCAAAGAGTGAAAAACTCCAAGAGTTCTTGCAATAGGAGTGCCTTGGAGGAATCATTTCTGGCATAGTCACAGTGTTTGCATGTAATCGATTAATGAAAGCAGTTTCTTTGGCAAATAAACGGTCTAACTGGCGCTCATTTGCCCGTGATTGCTTGCTTTTGAGCTGCCTGTGCCGTTGCAACAAGTCAAACTTTGCAGGAATAAACATCCGCAAATAACTCAACGCAGCTGCTGGCATCATGTCATCGAGCAACTGTTCAAACCCATCCAATCGTCTGGATAAATTTTGGATGGATTGTTGTTTAGTTCCCACGCCATGACAACAATTTCTGAAGCTGAATGCCCCGCTCCAACATTCGCTCCGGCCCCAGGGTGAGGTGCCCAAGTCACAGCAAGACTCAGCAGTGAAGACACCATCCCAACACCCTGACTTGGCAGCTGCAAGTGCATGGCACGCCAATGCACAAATGCGGCCTAGAGCCATCCAATTTTTGTAAAGAATGCATGTGTATTAGGGTTGAATCAGTTTTTGAAGTTGTTTGTGGTTGAAAAGAAAACCAATGCATCTAAACGTACGCAAATCAATAACTAAAACAGATCCAAAAATGTTAATCAATGGCGCTGCAGTAGTGTGGATTCAGCAAGAGTTCGTCGAGAATGATTGAACTGCCCAGTCTGGATTCCGTATGAAAATTTGAGAAACAGAATGGACACGACTCGACAGCTGGCCGAATGAATTCGATGGATTTGGCGTCAAGCGAATGTCGTACTGAAATGTCTCAAACGTCTGTGCGATGAATCAGATTTGGGCGTCGGTTCAACCAAACAACACAGCAGTGCAGAAAAACACATTCTTTGGGGTAGACATATATGTAGCTCTGGTAATCAAACGCAGTTTCAAAAATGAACCGAACCATGAATAAAGCGGAGTCTTGCATATGGTTTTACTTTGCAACCATGAAAATTGATATGTTTTTTTTACGAGACATAACCAAAATCGGGTTCCCGTCAATGGAACAAACCTGCATCAAAATAAAAAATGAATCAAAGCGTGGCCACGCAAAGTTTCGATGAATGCCTATAGTCACGGACTATCACTAAGAACGTATTTTTCCCAAATCCCAATCACATTTAGAATGTCCCCAACCATCTTGGTAAATATCACGTTCTAAACTCTAAACCCAGCAGTTAGAACGTCAAATTTCGAGCGATTTGTTGGATTACGTTCTAAGTGATAGTCTATGTTTTTTTTCTGGCACCGCCAACCATGACGATGCAATTCCTTCAAGCAATGACCATTTCAGGGCCTAAATGGGAGGTAATATCATATATAAGGCCAATGTAAGGGCTATGTAAGGGAATGTCCCCACAAAATATGGCCTTATTTGGAACGGTACCTCAAGTTTACGTACCTGTAATGGCCACTGATTCAATGATGAATTTGCTAGACCCGTGCCAGTTTTCACACAAGGTTTACCACCCAGACATAATATTTCACAATAAAAAATGAGAGCATGCATGGCACAGCATGTTTTTGGATGCTTAAAAGCGATACTGGAAATGCTCTAAGTGTAGGTTACGCAGCCTATCTACAGAGGTCCTAGATGCAATGTGTGAGGCTTAGTACCCAAACGAAAACTACGCATAAGACTCCCCAAAAAAAATGGGAGCATGCCATAGCAGGCCTTTAAATTTTTCAAATATAGCGACACACTGAAACTTAGAATGCTGCCCAGTTTTCCAAGATTTTGAGTTTTGAATTTAAAATGCCGCCAAAAACCCTGTTCTTAAGGGTATTTTGAAGAAGTGGAACGTGTGAACGATCCACAACGCAACATGGCACATAATTTCCCACTTAGCTCAAGGCGCCTGTATTGGGATTGGGCCCATATGTTACAGATATATACATGGTGGTTCATGGAGCTGGTGTGGAATCATGTACATCTTCACAGCACACCCATCTGTCTTTACAGGTCCTGAACCACTACATATGGGACCCACCCCCCTGACCCCGCACAGGGAAACAAAATCTGACTGCGTATTTTTTTTCCAGTCTGCGCACCAATCCTTTTCTTGCTCACGAATTACAGCCCTACGCACCACCCTAAGTATGTCCAAACCAATAGCTCCTCAC